AAGGGATCCGGTTCCGATGCGAGAACCGCGTGTTTTCCTGTTGTTCCGGTAGCCGTGTCCACAAAAAGAGTCTCACGGTCAACCAGTGGCGAAAAATCCTCTCGACTTGTGTAAGATGCTTAGATCCAGGCTTTTTTTTTTTATTATTATTCAATGTTGTTTATTTTGAGCATTTTCCAATGATTTGTCATCTATTCAGATGGAGTTGTTTCTGAGGTCAAGTTTCTGAGTCACATAAATATACAGTACTCTGTTCGCGTTTCAAAAAAATTCGCAGCAATCCTCTGTCGACTCGCTGATTTCTGAAAGATGAGATTCATTTTACTGGATGGTTTGATCAGAAATTGGCACAAATGAATTCGTCGATTAATTTCATTGAGATCACTGCATCATTTGTCATCCTTTTGTATTTGGCATTCTTCCTTATACAGTATTGTTGAATGTTGAGGGAAAATGGTTGAAATAATTTGAATGTCTTGGAATCAAGTTTTTTGGACACCCAAGGTTGAGCCAAATTTATCAGACAGTACATATTGCTAATCCACGCCATGTCTACTCATATCGTGAAAAGCGTACTGTTTTTTAAAATTTAAAATGGATTTTCTTTGGTTTCGACGGGGCTTGTGTTACTTTTTGCGATATTTGACCTTTATATAGCAATGCCTACACGTTCAGTAAACTTTTTGTGGAAACTACCAAAGGAAGAGAATGACTGCCAATATCATGGTCATGAGATATGATGGAAAACTGCCAAGTAGCATTACTTATAATTATTTGAATGATTCGTGAGATCTTGAATGGTAGCCAGAATAATTATATAAATATCCAGATATGGTACGTAAACAGTAAATAAACAAATGGGTTTCTGAACTTCTGACATACTTTGGTAAGTTTGGAAGAGATGATAATAATATAATAATAATGATTTTCTCATTGAGTCCCGTCACATTTTTCGTGAAAATTGGTTCTTTCAAGATTTTTTTACGTACTCTACATCCATGCACTTATTAGCAAACAGTTTAAAGATTGTTATTTATGTTACGAATTATTGGTTTTCCTCGTCCTGAAATATTCACTTCTGATGATCCGGGACGTATGTTTTTCTGATGCAAAAGTCTGATTTTCCCTGATTGACAACACCTTTTCCATTCCATTACTGTCCTCATCAACAATCCAAAATAGTCAATTTACCCGAGGTTATTCTTTAAAAATGGATTGGAATTTTGTTCTTGCATCAACATACAGCCATCTTGATTGATCCAAATTAAATTCCCGCAATTGCAATGATGTACTTGTCTTGGTTCCATTAATGTACGACGCAGTATGTACCACGACGATCATCAGCGGAAATTCTTCGTCAGCATATATTTATATACTGTATTACCTAATTGCAAGTTCAAAGAAGTATTGTCAGCAAATACGCCCAAGGCCGGCCGGGAACTCTATTTAATTTACGAAAATATCGTCGCTGATTGATTCATCATTCATCTATATCAGCAAATAAATTTTGACCTGCAACCCTCTTGGATTATACTCATTTATCCAAGAGAAGGTTGAATTCTATCCTTGGGAGCGTGGAGCATTTTTTGATCATCCGATTTTCGGAACAATGAAATACAGTATGTATGCAAATGTATATGCATTTTGAAAATATCGCATTTACGCGAATAAAGGCTAAAAAATGTACTGTATGTAAATCTGGGAATGCATTTGACAGAAAAACTGCGTGAGCTGTATAATTTTTTGCTCTTTATCGAACATTCGGCATCAACTTTTGAAAATCCTGGTAAATTTCCAAGACGCAGAGTTCCGAAACATTTTAAATTTACTGGATATTACAGGTTTAACTTTGTATTCTTAAGTGAGCTTGTTCGGATAATAAATTTTATTTTTCCGGTATATTTCTATCGAAGCTATATTGCTCTCAGGGATTGGTCGTATCGTGCTTCCAGGCATACATTTGAATAAATAGAATAAGTGCAAGGATTTCGGACGTGTTCATGCAACTCTCTCACGCTCTCGAAAATTGAAATAATTTAAAGAAAGAAATACTTCGTTTATCGATTAATCAAGATATTTTTGTACCTCTGATTATTTTTCTTAGAACAAAGCTCAGCCATTATTATTGAATATTCTGGCAATTGAAGAGATATTCGTCGATTTTTTTCCTTTCAAAAATTATGACAACCTCAACTGAAAAAATTATTTTCACGCCTTCACGATTATGGAACCAGTAAATTCTCAGCCACTGGAATTACTTTTCCCAGAATATTATCTCGGCAATTACATTGGCAACATAACAAAGAATCATCAGATAAATATAAACTCTGATTCATACCGTATTTTTATTGATTATTATTCACCAGCACCCTTGATGGAAATATGCTAGGCAGACCAAACATTTCTATGATGCTACGAATGATGTTGTTGTGTTGACCGATGTCATGCGGCCACGCGATGTATGGAGTGCCGCGAATATTTTGTTGATTGTATGTCGTGAAGGTTATGGATAAACATGTTGCCGTACTTCACAAAATGGGAGAACACAAAATATATTCCATACTGCTCAACATGCACCAAATTTTCCCCAACATAAGACGTCTTAGAATCTTCGCAGAATGAGCTGGGCTATTATAAGTGAGAGGTTACTCTCAAAAATGGCTGATTCATTGTTATAAAAATTGAATGATGTAGAGTTGAGAAGTCCTGCTTTACATTAATCTCCAAACCTGAGATCAATTGATAAGCTTTCAAGTCAATCAGAGTTTCATAAATAAATTTAGTACACAGTGTATATGTAGCTATAATTAATATTCTTGACTGAAGTGAAGAGGAGGCATATATGCAATTCTTTGTTCTTCGTCAAAATAACATAATATTTTGGAAAGTAACCACAAAGCACTATAAAACTATGAAGATAAGTCTCACGCATTCAATTTGGTGCCTGAAAATAGAGCTAAGGCTCATAGATCTAATTTTAAAAACAGCACGATGTTTGAAACTTTTCCAAGCTTTATAATTAATGAAAGAAAACAGTACAGGTAGTTTCTCTCTACAACGATTTTCTTAGTACAACTCTTTTTTCACCCTTGGCGATTCCCTGCCATCGCTTTATTTCGGGTTCTCTGTATATACGATAATATTTTCTCATAAAGATTTAATTTTGCTCCGCTAAATTTCGTATACAAGCAACTTTGTAAAAAAGAGTCCACCTGGATTCAAAGATGCGAAATACGCCTTCCAACTTTCATCAACCTGTCAAATAAATATTTAAACTGAAATAATGCTAACCAAACCAACATCCGGTTTTTTTTCGTTGCCCCTTATTCAAGATTTCGAAGTATAATGGACTGTTCGCTCGTCTTTGAAACAAGGTGACTGATGCAGGTTTTTCCCCATACTATAAATCATCATCGTATCAATTATTCAGTGCCCCAATTTCTTAGGAAGGCATCCAATGACAACATTCGTGCGCCCCTAAAAATTCCGGAGTAACAAATGATTGAGCCAAGGCCACCGACAAAAAATCACACGAATGATGAGCTATTCGGTGCACGGTTCTCACCTAATTTGTTTTTTTTTTCTTCTAGTGGATTCCAAAGGTGAAGTAAAGCATCATTATTCATCCCAAACAGATCTTTTTTTTTTTGAAAACTCAAGATAAAACCTCTTGTGGTCATTATAACGTATACTGCTTTAAATAAATAGGCATTATTGTTAGAATATGGTTCGATGATGGCTAGACCAGTCTTATGGCAAGGAAGACTTCTGTCGTTGAATTATAAAAAATATGTATGCATCACATTTTAAGCATTCTTTACATCCGTAAGTTGAATAAGCACGTGCATCGGTTACTTTTCAATAAATAAGCATTGCCGAAGTTTTGATCGATTTTTTTCTGATCAAGTTCTTTCAATGGATTTATCCACACCATGAATCTCTCAACAGATACAACTTATTTTATTAAAAATTGTAAACGCTGACAAGCAAGGAATGAAGCTTGTATACGTCAATCAACAAAAATATTAAATTTCATGAAGATTATCTCCCGCGATGGACAAATACCTGTACAGTATCCTACTTGCAGAATTCCTCGTCACAATTTATTATAAGAAAACCTTCTAATGATGCCAATTTTTCCCTTTAAAAAACCTCGCAGAAGGCTGTGCTTGAACTCACATACACAGTGGTAGAATCTTTTCGCCCACGCATTGCTTTTCATATGGAATTTTTTCCATGAAAGAAAACAAAACAATAAGACAAAGAAAACTTGCCCAGAGGAATAAACGCGATTTCGAGTCACGCCCATCGCCGCCATGTCCGGAATGATATGTGCGAAATGTTAGGGTTCGCTCAAAAGAATCTAGGATATTATTTATTCAATTTTAGATACAGTACAGTACACCCTTCTTCTTAGTCATGCACGGTATACTGTAGTTGTGATTTCTCAATTTTACGATGAATTTTCAGCAGTCGGGGTCCAAAAAGTGTTCCCATTTTCGAATCATGGCTTGCACTTTCTTTCAGTTTATAATTTCAAATGATTATTGTGCAGAATTTTCATAACTTTTTAGGGATTAAATGGTGGTTAATGCCCTGTTTTAAATTGGATTGGTTCCACGCATACAATATAAGTAAAATCTTGTTACAACGACCCTTTCAAGAAATGAAAAAGTAACTCATAACAAATCATTGGTTGCATCCAAGTCAGAAAGAATTTTTGTTTTATGAGTGCAGGGATCATAAAAAAATTCGTCGCGTAAAAACATTTGTTTCAAAAAAAAAATCAAGGCATCTAAGGAGTTTTGGAGAGTCTTTTTCATTGAGTCGTTTAAAAGAAATCCAAAAATAAATACTTTTCGAAAATAAATAGAGTTCCACAAGCTAGTTGCAGTTATATTAAAGTGCCCAAGCAGCATATACAATAAATACAATACTTCAATAAATGCTCAACAATAAATGCTCAACAATTGACTAAGACATTGTGCACTTTTGAGCATATATATACGTGACTTTTCCATCTGTTGATGAATTGAGCCTTTAACAATGTTATTTGGCTTGTTATTTATAGAATAGGTTTTAAACATTTTTTTCAGGAAGGTTTTTCGCGTCTGGTTTGAGCTAATTCCATTCTTGAATCCGCTTGAGTTGTTCTTTGGTTCGTTTTACTTCAGTTTCTACCATTTCTATCTGTGGCAGTGCAAGGTCCAAATGACAGAAGTAAAATTCTGCCCACAAAATGGAAAAACTGTTTCATGCTTGGCATGTTTCCGAAATATAAAACTTTTTGATTCGCCCGAAACATTGTAACACGGACCGAAAACCAACACGTATTCCATACCATCCATCTCTAGGTCAGCGCTAATTATCCAGGCGCAGTACGTCATTCTAGTTTTTTCCTTCTCTTTTTTTTCTGTAATTCAATTGCCGCAGGAATGTACCACGAAATCGAAAAATGAAAGGAAAGTGGCGATTGAAAGGCAAACGAAAAGAAATGAAGGGGAATTCCGACGGAATAAATCGCAGCACGCGCTGGGAAAGTGACGCAACAGCCTTGGGTCGTCTTTTGACTGGGATCCGTCACATTAACGCACGCGAGGGGAATGCGTAAAAAAGTCTTGCTTCCAATCGCCGTAAAATAGATTGCATTTGTTTTAAAAGAATGTAGAAGTCATAACGATGATTAAAATATAACTTGAAAAGTTTAAATGAACCCTGGAAGCGCATCCCTTATTGAATTAAACGGAAACCTTGCTTTTTGTACTGAATATGTGAAGTTCTGTATATTCGTCGATTGATGTGCCAATTAACGCAACCCTGTTTTCTTTTCAGCAAAAAAATAGAAGGGGAAATTCGAGCCAGCTTCGGAGATTGTGTCGCAATCGTTTCATATTCAGATTTCGAAAATCGAAAAAATCCCTATTTTTCACACTGCCGAAGCCAAGCTTCGAGTGAATAAGGCAAATAAATTTCGATTTCGTTCGGATCATGGAAAAAAGTAATACAGTACTATACTAAATATTTTTGATCCACATTGAAAGCTGCTAATCGAACCAAATAATTTTACTCATCAACTTTGAATTCCATTTTGGATTTTAATACCTCTCGAGGCCGAGGAAATTTTCGCAGAAAGGTCGTTCAAAATTTGTAAAAATTGCATCCCTTTGTAGATTGAATAAAATCATCAAGACAAAATTCTTCACAAGATGTTTGTTTCGAAGAGGCAAAATTTCATCGAAGACACGCATACAGGAGGCAAATACTTTTTTCTTGAACTTATCAAAAGTTGAACAGCAATTATTCCAAATTACAAAATCCCTCATTTTCACTGAAGGCCGGGGAAATATCAACAGAAAATTTGCATTACTGTACCTCGAATTTAAATACTTTACTGTACAGTGTACGCTTTTTTGTTATGCCACCATGTCATGTTTAATGTTTTTTAATGAAACACCCGTAAATTATGCAAAGTCAGAGTGTAGAATCTTGAAACTGCGATTATCAAAAAATTTGGAAAACAATAATTACAGCTTTTTCCATCTGATGGTTGAAGCCCTCCATCAGAAGAAAAATCCGTCTCATGTTATTATAAACCCTACTGTGTAAAAATAAATATTGTATAAAGAAATTCATAAACAGTAATTCCGTGTTGACATGATCATTGTTTAGAATTTAGATGAAACTTCGCTCGAGAATACTAACCAGTACCATATATTTATCCTATGGTTTAGGAAAACTACCACATTTGAATTGTGCAGATTCAATTTCAAAGGACTATTTCTGCGAATTGCTTGCGGAATTTCCAACCTATCAGCTGCCATTAACGTCAAAGCTTACAAAGTTGCGCATCGTCGAGTACTCGTATAACCAATGCTTGCTTAAAAGTTAAAACTAAATTGTCAATTGTGATTGTACAAGAAATATGATTTTTTTTGCTAAATCATCTCTTGAAGCTCTAAATGAGGTTTCAAGACTCGTAGAACTTATACACTCCATTCGTCTCGACGTCGAATTGAAGTTTTGTGATATGTTCGCAAACCAACAGACATTAATGAGGTTAGTATCTATATTTCTTTAGTAAGTTCTTTTTAGTTGCCTATTCAAGCTGTGAACTCCAGAGCAATTGACCACATGCGTCATCGGAACTGTATATATATAGAGAGAGAAAATGAATTGAAGCTGCTGAGCCATTAGATTTTGCAAGAATCCTCGCAAAAATTTGGGAAATTCGCCTACCACGATAAAAGTTGTTGCGAAATACTACATTGGTGAATAATCATTCGTTTCTTCGCGGATGATCATCCCCGCATGCAATATGCAACGCCTGTCGAACGAAAACATTCGCAATCATCGTCGCAATACTTTGAGACTGTCCCAAGACGTCACGGACAAACCACGAATCCACACAGCATATATATAAAACAAGGATTGCAATGCAGGATTTAGCGCCCTTCAATTCCCTCTTTTTTGTTTCAATTTCCATCGTCGGGCGAATCCCTCAAAATGTTGCGTGACAAGCGTGCGAACTACATTTCTTCACGCTATATTTCACTCCGAGACGCTTAAGGCACAAACCGGCCTTTCGTCAAAAGTTTCAGTTCTCATTTCTTTTCTCGAAAATAAACTGTTGGATGATCGAGGTTCGCATTTTCTGAAGAATTTCGGTGGAAAAAGGGGTTTTCCGCGAAGGACGACAGTATTGCCGCACGATGACGATTTTATTCTGCCTGTGAGAACACCGTAGGCATGAATTCCCCTGCTGCTGCTGGTCAATCTTGTTCTGCCATCAGCACAGTATTTGAATATACAATACCTGCAGTCAACTTGTAAACTTTTATGGTATATTCATGGATCAGGTGATAAAAACATGAAAACAACGTTCTATTTATATTTACTCGAACCGAAGACTATTGATCGATCCGTGCACTGAAGATTCGCCAGAAATTTGAACTGAATTTCTTGAATGTTGAAGGATTATATGACCAATAAGATACATATATACTGTATAATTTTTCTCGGTGACATTTTATTTCCCCAGACATTTCCTCTCCCAGATGTTTTCTCCGCCCCGTTTTTTTTCCTCGGTATATTCGGCATTTCTATCCTTGATTTCGTTGAGAAAATTTCGAATTATAAAACAGGGCTAATCAAATCAGCCATTATTCCGTCAGAACGATAAAATGTTAAGTTCGAATTTTCGAAATACATTGATACAGCATCATAGTCACATAGCACATCAGCTATCAAAACATTTATTGTAATTTTAACAATTATTTAGAGAATCAAATTAGTTGTTTTTTATAAATTATCTAAATTTTCAAAAATATCAAAATGTTCGAAATTTTCTCACTTTTTTCTCATTTTGAACAAAGCAATACGAAAATATTGTAGATATTTTTATATATCACGGTGAGTGCATTTTTGAAGAATGTTTTCTTGCTTCGTTTCAATAAATATTCTGCTGGGCAATTTATTTTACTTTGAAATGCTTTAGTCAGAAAAACGCTTTAGGTGGATCAGGATAACACACCTCTATAGTTTCAGAAAACTAATTCAAATCTGTTCATCACATTCCCAATAATTTTTTTCTTTCTATAATTACTCAATGAGGAATTCCATTTTCGGTACCTGGAAGTTTGCAGTAGTATAAGATTTTACTTACATTTCAAAATGACCACAATAGTTTTGATGTCTGACGATGGAACTAAGTAAAAGTGTCCAGTTTGTCAGAGGGAACAAAAGAGTTCGACTAAACTGTTAATGCTTGTGTCCGGATCTGACCACACCGTAGGTCTAAAAAATACAGCAGTAGCTCATGTTCAATGATTGTTCTGTGCATTATGCATTCATACTGTACTGTAACAGCTGTATTTTCCGTCTGAACTCTGAACTTGAAAAGCACTGTAGTTCCCTAGAGGAAATTGTCAGGCTCTATGTGATGGAGATTTACATGATTGGGTGAGTGCACCTGCCGTCAGGTGGTCAATTGGACGCAGGGAAGATAATGCACGAATTGTCGTAATTCAAGAAGTATGTAACATTAAATCCCGCTTGCAGATTTCAATGAGAGTGCGCTGTCATTCTTTGAAAAGTTGATGTTTTTCTTGCGGCTTTTGAAGCATCAGAACTGTTCATCACGTGATCCGAGTGAAACATGCGATCGAGCCCACTGCTTCGTATGATTCATGCTAATCATGCATTAAATTTAAAAGCTTGTATGTCGTCTCCCTTCACTGCAACGTCTGGAAGTGTAAGTGGGGGCAATGGCGTGTAAATTGTCCTCGGCGCTCGTCGTGTGAAATTACGCGTCCCTCAAGTCTCTGTTTTGCATGGAACGTATTCTGAGGATCCCTATTTTTAGGTGTGCCTGTACGTGTAACGAAATTCATCAGAATGCGTCCGCATCGTTGAACCTCCGTGAGTCTTTTCGAAAGGACGTCTATGGAGGATTATGTTTTAATGAAAACACGCTACCTCGTGGTGGAAACTGGGTTGAATCGTATGCTATGAATCAGTGACGGCTTTAGTTACGAAGGTCGCGGTCATTTCGACGTTCTCCCATCATTACAGTCATGTGGATCGAACCAAAGCTTGTTCAGCCGAATGCCGGATTCTGGTTAGCATTCTGTTCTCTCCCACCTGTTCAACGGGTTCACGTTTTCAACTGGACGTCCATTGTGGAATTGCTATTTTCAGGGTCTTGGAGCGAAAGAATGCCTGGTTTATGTTGCAGCGACGTAGAGGGCATGGTCCCCACAGCTCAGGTCTTGGGTCGATGTTGGTGGGAACTTTCGACTCAATTTTTGATACAAGTCCTCCCCCATTTCGAATACTATTTCATGCCAGGAATGAAACTATATTTTACAGTAAGATGCTCGTTTGCGAATGCTTCCATTCGATAACTTCTGAACACGCCTTTTAATGAGCTTTGTTTTAGTGTTGGCATGGTCATTGGAGGAAGAGCAGATCACAGAGCACTGGGATTGGTTGGAGCTTCAGGTTCTTCCCAATCTCACACAAATCGAATCCGAAACTGATATGATCGCCTTTGTGTCTTCGAAGGTGACTGCCCAGTTCACCTTACAGGAAGAACCAAAACGATCTACGATTGAAGGTTTGTAATTTGTGTTGAATTCAACAGAAATTCATCTTCAATTTTTTTAAACCTATTTTTAGCACACGAACCCGCGGACATTCGCAGTAGTCAGTACAAATTCCAGGCTATTTTTGGAATGGCCCCTGAGGAAAAAGTCGTCAGTTATTATTCCTGCAGGTAAAGATTGCCGTGAGAAAACGATCTGAATTATTCTAATTCTGTATTTATTGTTTCCAGCTATTGGAAAGGATTAATGCCGCGTCAAGGCTGGGCGTACTTAAGTATCAATCACTTTTGTTTCTATTCGTTCTTGTTGGGCGTGGAAACAAAATTAGTGATTCGGTGGGCTGATGTGACCGGCTTGGATCGGCAGCAGTCCCGTCTTTCTCGTTTGAATGATGGAATGAAGATTACCACCAGAGACAAAGAATATAATTTTTCAGGCTTCCTGCGAATCAAAGATGTTTTTAGCTTGATGCAAAGGCTTGCTGATCTTGCAATGAAAAAGTGAGTTCAGTTTATGCCCACCACCGTAAGCACAGCTAAATTCCATCCAACTTTTTTAGGCTGATCAACGAAGAAGAATTTTCAGTTGACCTGGATCTCCTTCTCAAGTCCAGGTACTTTTTTCGTTCCTCGAAGTTTTCGTAGGTTGATCCCTGGTTTATTTTTCTAATGTCAAATTTGATGCGCTTTCGTTTTCCTCTACAGTAAAAACATCGATCAACGCCTCTCAGTTGTTCACCGAGACTTGAACGCAAGAGTGGTCTCCGCCGAATTCCAAATGGAATTCAATTTGGGTCGAGAGGAGAAGTTGGATGGAACAATATCTTGCGCTTTGTATACACCTTATGATCGAAGGTTCAACATGGGAACCCTCTACATTTCAGCGAATTTCATGTGTTTTTCCAGTAAGGTGAGCCAAACCGCAGGTGATATTGATTTTCGTGATAATTTCATCCCTGGGTTTCCAAGGTTCCCGAACTCGTGAAGATCATTATTCCTTTGAGGGACGTAACCGTAGCTCAGCGGAAGAGGCAGAAAGACGGAAGAACGGATACTACTAACTTTGGAACATTGGTCATCTATACGAAGCAAAAGAGACAGTTCGTGTTCACTCGAATCGCAGACCTGGATTTCGTCATTAAAAAAATATCTGATTTGCTGTGGAATGCTGGTCAAAGCAGGTAAGTCTGACGAGCGGAACTATGTAATGAACTATTGTGGGAAAGCATTGTACTGTATTCTCGCCGATGGAAATTTTTCAGTTTCGACCAATTTCACTTACGATTTGCTTGCGCATCTTAGAGTTGATGACATCTTGATTCTTGAATTTGCATGCGAAAAATGCTGGTGTAGACTGGTTTGTGAACATGGACCAGTTCAAATGCTCTAGTATTTCGGCTAGTCCATTCAAGTTGCATCAGCTCAACTCATTTTATTACGATAACCTTTTGATTACGTTGCTGTCGTTGATTGAACATTTTGGTCACGATTTCAACTTACGGTCGACATGTGAAGTCGGTTTGATATTGTTTGGAGGAATAATTTTTTTAAAGGAAAATGGAAGTGAGCGTATAGAGTACAGTACTGTATTTAATATATGCTGACACTTCTTATTTTGCTTTCTTCAGGAAGGCCGTTCTGTGTTTAATGAGTTTCCATCCCTTATTTTGTCTCCACACTGCAGGAATAACGAGGTTACGCTTGACAATGAGCAAAGTTTTGCTATAACAACTGAGTACGAAGATGAGCATGAGATAGAAGCCGATCTTCTAGTTCGTGAACACGACATAACCCCCCGGACAGAGGAGTTCAATATGAGTGATTTCGAGGAACACCGTAAAATTCAAGACGCGCTTTCGAAAAGTTCAGATCTCGGCGAATTTAATTCACTTCGTCGACGCCGTGCATCCATCATGATACCATTGACCGAGCAAGAAGATGCTACTGGTGACTTTGAAGCGTTGCCTGCATTGATTGATTTGGTAGACCTCGGTCCTCCTTCGCCTGAGGCCGCGGCAAAAGAAAAAGTGAGAGAGAACTTGTGGACGACTCATTTTGCGCACTACGGCCGTGGTGTTTCCATGTACCGCGCATACGAGCTTAGAACCCTGGTGTCGAAAGGAATCCCGGACAGATTGCGGGGTGAATTGTGGCTTGTGTTTTCTGGGGCGTTGAACGATTTGGTTTCCCAGCCAGGGGAATATCGGAAGTGTTTTTCCGAAGGTGCTGCTGCGGGAGACGCACTAACTTTGGATGAAATTGAAAGAGATGTCAAGCGTTCTTTGCCCGAGCATCCGGCATTCCGGGAATCTGCCGATGAAGGTGAGAAACAGTTGATCGGACGGATCGGTTGTAGTGTTTGAAAAACTGGAACTATCCTTGTTGCTAACGGCTGACCATTGAATGAAACTAAGTTCTTGACCCTCAATGTGGTTCCATGGACTGATCAGTGGCTGCGATTTCCTGCAAAAAGCTTCAAATCAAAATTTATTGTTGCTGAAATCATAACTTTCCTCATCCAATGCTTTCCTCATGTCGAAGAAGTCCGAATTCCTTTTCTTTCAAATGTCCAATTGAATTTGAATATGCAAAGAAGGGCTAAATATGTTTGCATCGGATGGAGTGTAAGATCCTCATGCCAAGAAAAATGATCTGGGATCTTCCGTCGCGTGTCAATTCAGAAATCCTCGTGCTCACTCAGAATCAAGGTGCAATTTCAAATGTCTCAGTCCGAACTCCGAAGTAAAATCCAAAAATGGCTGCCTGTTAAACTAACCCATTCAAGAAAAGTTGACAATGTGATGGAAAAAATGAGAAATATGAATCAGATTCCGCTAGTGTTCTTCCGTACTATTAAAATGTGCTTTAAACTGATGATTTTGCTAACATTGCCATTGTCAATATCCGTAGGTGGTGGACAGGGCATCGGTGCGCTGAGACGCGTTCTCACCGCCTACGCATGGAGAAATCCAGCTATTGGATATTGTCAAGCCATGAACATAATCGCATCTGTCCTGTTGTTGTATTGTCCCGAAGAGGCGGCCTTTTGGCTCTTGTGCGCCATATGTGACCGCATGTTGCCTGACTACTTCAACACGCGTGTTGTCGGAACAGTAGTGGATCAAGCTGTGCTCGAAGAACTCGTTGCTGAGCGACTCCCTGCTTTATACGCGCACTTGTCTCGCCGAGGCGGGGGAATAATCCGCATGATATCCCTATCTTGGTTCATGACGATCTTCCTGTCCGCTGTCCCGTTCGGCGCTGCGCTGCAAATTCTAGACTGTTTCTTTCACGACGGTGTTCGAGTAGTGTTCATGCTCGCTCTGGCGATTTTGGAATGGAAAGAGAAGGAGATTCTGGACTCTAAAGCGGACGAAGCGGAATGTTTAGCCATGTTGAACGGATTTTTGGAGCAGGTGGAGAATCAGAGTGCAACGATGCCACGGCTCCCGCCACCTGGGCCCATGGCGAGGAAAGATCGGGTTAATGGTGGAGCAGGGGATTCCATGGTTACGGATATCGCCGATTTGTTGTACGCTGCTTACAGAAGTTATGATGACATCACAAATCGGGAAGTTGAGGAAAGACGACTACGATTGCGGTTGAAAGTTGTCCAAGGTGTAGAGGATCAGGTCAGATAAACTAAACCTAATACTGTAATGTATTTTCCAAACATAAGCGCAAAATCCGTTTTCACAGCAGCAGCGTTTCACAAAATATGAAATATCAGAAAAAGCTGACACAGTCGCCTGCAAAAAATTGAATAGTAAAATTTTTGAAAGATTTTTTCGATGTTGAAATCCTTGTTACTTGAAAAAGCAAAGCATACATTTGTATGTTGCAATCTTAACTTCACGTAGAGAAACAAGAACCGCTCGCTGTGCATTCCTTCAGCATTGTAGGAACTATTCATCATCTATGAACATTTCCAGAAGCTTTGAGTACTGTAGTATAAATAATCATAGAAAACATTTTTGCACTGTCATCGTTTCATTCGTTGCGTTTGCTCTTCCGTACGTCCTAAGTTCTGCTCTGGGTGTTCGACAGTTTCTCCTCGGCTCATTGAGTGTGCGGCAAGTTAGAAATTGTGTATCTCCGCAAATACTAGCTACCTGTGGGAGAGTTCGAGAGTATTTGTTGACTTCATAAACATTTTCTGTCGACAGGCTCGGAAGAACGTCGTCAAAGGAGTTTTGGACACGACGAAGTTGAATTCCCACGAGTTGGCGGCATTATTTGATTTTGTGAAAGACGAACAGTTGTACCTTCAGTACCGGGGAGCGATCAAGCGGGAAGCTGCGGCGTCCGTGACGCATTCCAACACGTACAGGCATTACCTAATCGATCATGAAGGATTTTGTATGCTTTTCCGCGAAGCCACCAATTGGGGCAGAGCTGATGTTTCCGATTCCCTCTCGCGCCGATTATTCACCGTGAGTTCGGTCGTCATCTCATGAAATTTCGTCAATTTTCACGAAAATAGTCTTTGTAACAAAGCAATATTGCTTTTTAGTCTTAATTTTATTTTTCTACGAAGAGGAAGAAGGTACAGTGAAGTTATAAACTCTGCGGAAAGATGTTACGAGAGTGGTTTAGATGAGGCATTGCTTTAAGAAGTTGTTGGAGTATCATCAAAATTATCGCCGAATGCTTTAAAAAAATCCATAATAACCTTTTGAGGGTGAACTCCTAAACTGACTGTAAATTGAGAGAAAAGTTAACGAGAAGCTGGTGCTTACGTTTTTCTTCTTTTTAGGCGTTTCTGTGAATTCGTTTTGATTAGGATCAGTAGGCTTAGAGTATTTTTCATTTGCGATGAAAGATGGCTGAAATGTTTTTCTGCGTATGGGCTATGTGAGATTTCAAGCAAAACGTAGAAATGTCGCTCGATTCATGTTTTTTTGTGTCCAGTTGATGGATGGTGATGAAAACGGACTCCTGGATTTCAAAGAACTTGTTCAAGTCCTGGACATTTTGATTCGTGGTGACGCCTTGCGTAGGCTGAAGCTTCTTTTTCTGCTCCACGTTCCGCCTCTTATGATCGAGCCGAATTTGAGAGATACCGCATCTCCACGTGAGTTCCATTATTTGATGTTGCTGATTTTCATTTTATCTTGATAAATGTTAATTCTTAGTTCCGGAAATGGGAGAGGATGCTGAGAAGTTTTTTGATGATATGAAAGATATAAAAGAAGTTGTTAAATTGAAGAAGCACTGTATGACAGTGAGAGACGTAATTGTTTCTGCGCCTTCCGATGGCTCTTCTGCCACTGAGTTGCTACTGAGCTGCACTGACGCCGATTCAACTTCTGCGAAAGACATACAAGGTACAGTATTTGAATGCTAACGTTAGTCAAGAAATTTATTTAAAAAGTTTTTTATTTATCCTTCAGATGCGTTGATTGAAAGCGGGCGATTGAGTCCTGCATTCTTCAGAAGTCTCGTGATCGAAGAAGGAGAAAAATCTCGAAGACGCATTCCATTCATGACCCACAGGCAGTGTCTTGAGTTCATAAGAACTCTTCATGCGCTATTTTCTCAGAACGGAATACCGAAAAGAGGAGAACTTCTGGCTGAAGTTACAGCTGTCGGTCCGTTTTTTTATTGAATGATGATTTTTTTTACGTGTGGTGTTGTATGTGTAACAAAACATTTTCAGGAGGAGAGTTGGTGCGTTTCGGAGATGCGGGGGAAGGATGTAAGACTTCATGGGTGAATCTGTTGTCCCAATTGTTGGAAGACTCGGCGAAGTTCTCGCATGGAGAGGGATCTTTCCAAATGGCCAAAAGCGTTGGTAATTCGTCTTTCGTAGCTTCTCCTGCCGAAGCTGCTTTAGCAGCCACAGTTCCTGCGCCGCCAGAAGATGCCGGGCTGTTGAGTTACCGTTTGGGGCAAAGCGATTTTTATGTCACTCTGGAAAATGGCAAGGGCAGCAATCCAGAAATCGTGAGTATTTTTATTACATTTTTTAGTGGGAGATTTTTGTTGAAATTTTTGATAATTTTCTGGTCATATCGTTATTTCTGGAAGGTCAGCCTTCTGTTGCTTGAGTCAATAACATGTCAAAAAGATAACCTGCAAGTCTTTATATCCTGACTTGGGCCAAAGCAAAAGTGACCAAGTTCAGGTTATATCCTTGTAAAGTAGTGACAAAGAAATCACCCAAGTCCAGGGTTATTGAAATGAGACGAAACGAAAATTTTCCTCCATGAAATGGAGTTTAGCAAATTATTTTGAATCTTGTTTCCCTCAGATTACCATGGAAACCCCTGTCTTGGAGAATGCCGCAAAAGATCGGTGGTACATCACCTGTGAGCAAGTTGTCGCGTCAATGCTGAATTCACCTCGCATCACGGAATTCTTCGATTATCGTCCTTCGGAATCTGATTTCGAAGCTGCTGTAAAACGCGTAAAAAACCGGTTTGCTGCGACGAGACAGCGTCGAAATCCGCCGCGGAACTTCGGCAAAGCTCGGAAAAATCCTGTTATAACCGTGTGACGCCTTCAGGTCTCATTCGACTCTTCGTTCTAAAGCTACATGCAGGCATATTTTCTTCGCTTCGTATTTGTTCCATGAATTATTTTGTTGAGAATCTCGAACTTGCGAAACGTTATTGTTCTGGATATACGATCGAGTCGGTACCTTTATTTTGGCTGTGAGCAATGTTGCCCCCTCAAGATTCAGGAGCATGAGATACGAGAAGCTTCCATCTCTTATTTTTCTTCAGCGATTGTTCGAGTTTCAGTGTAGCTATTGCCAGAAGCGAAGCGAAGCTTCCTCTTTTGAAATCAAGACTGACGGAGTGATGGAATTTCTGTGATTGCATTTGATTGTGGATGTCATCAACACTGATTTTTTTTTCTTGAGCAAGCCAAGCATTTTGTTTATTCCTGATTATCTTGATGTCTGAAACGTGGATGAACAATTACTGTGAAAACACTATTATCTTCCACAGTACTGTGTTGCGAAGAAGGCTTTTAATAAATTATCTTCCATCTCAAACATGTTTTTGTCGAAGTTTTTCAACGTTTTCATGCTTGATGTGTTTTTGAGATTTTTCGACTTCACAGGAAAATTTTACGGATAGGGATTGTTCATCAAAGTGATTCTCGATGAGCCAGAAAGTGACGGTTCTTTATCCAGATGGTCGTCGAACAACCATCAACGTGACGCCGAATACCAGCCTGTATCAGGTTCTAGAAGAAGCATGCAAGAAAAGAGATTTTTCAGTGGATGATTATTCGTTGAAGTGAGTATTTTTCGAATAGAAAAGAGCGATGACGACATTGGAATGAAAAGTTCAATTTTAGATTGCTAACACTCTACAGCCGTTATTTTTCATGCGCAAACAATGCGTGATTTCGTGGAGTGTTAATTATTGTAAGATTTCAGTCGAGATCTAAGCGCCAAGGTGAGCTGAGCTGACCAGCTGAGATCTAAAAATGATCGTGTTGTCGATCATATTTTAGTAAAGAGAAAATGTAAAACTGCTGAATGAACACATGAGCATCGTTTTCCAGATTCCACGCGGAAACTAGACGACTTTCGCGCAGTGAAATGATTAAAGCGATATTATCCAGTAAAAGTACAATATTCAATGCTGCGATTAGAAATGACATTTTTATTTGACTGTGTTCATATTTTGTGAACATGTTTTCGATCGATGTGCATGATTGATTCGTTGATGGTTTGCCCAGTGTGAGATATCTGACAATATTTGAAGGCATTATAAGACGATCCTGAATCCGAGTCTTACGGTCCGTTTCGCCAATTTGCCGAACAATGCTTTGCTCGAGCTTGTGGAATCCGAAGCCAGTGATACCATTTCCGCATCGAAAGTCACTATTTGCTTGCAAGCAGAAGACGGGACGCGACAAACGTCGGAATTTCAGTCGAGTGGTGAATATTACATGTTTTCTGAAATTCTCCAAAAAATGCGTTTCCCCGATCTTATACAACGATTAGGCCTGAAAATATAGCCTAAAAACTTTCAGGGGATCGAAAATTACAGAAACCCTTTGGCACATGCTGGATAGCTTCAACTCGAATGCCGGGAAGAGTATTCTGAAATTGCGAGGCGATGTCGTTCCCGTGTGCGTGTACGCAAATGCTGAAATTGTTGGTGAGGAAGCTCTTCGAACGACTTCCTTGAGGAAGCTTGGCATGATCAATGGTCGTCACATGATCAGACTTCTTCATCGCCCACGAATCGAAATCGGTGTCCAAGCGCATTCCTCTGTTCCTGTCGCGGAAGTGCCGAAGACTCAGAAGCCTTCAACTTCTCGAGTGAGCCGTTTTTTACAGATTGATTCATAAGCTTCTCGTAAATCTAACTGTCTGCCTATGTTTTGTTGCAGGAAACTTCCCCTCAGCGGTTGCAAGCGAAGAAGGAAGTACCCCAGAAAGCTGCTCCCAAACTTGGCTCGAGTGACAGTAAGCCTGTCGAAAAACAAAACACGCAAGTCAAATCGGAGCGTTCCGAAAAGAAACCTCCGAAGTACGAGGTGAAACTTAACGTGAAAGATTTTCGGGTTGGTGGGTCTTCAGCTGAAGCCCCTCGCGTGGATGCTGGGAACTCGTCGAGGTCATGGGAGGGAACTTCAGGGGTCACCTTGGGCGGAAAGACCGTCGCGGATTCTCGTACACATGTGGCGAAAGGAGACTCCGTTTTCGTGAGTTTCGAACTTTTTTTCGAAATACTGTACTTCGACTTTTTTTTAATCTCTAGCTCAACAGTTCGTTCATTCTCGCACTCCGGGTAAAGTTCAGAAATTTGATGGAATCGGTTTGTGCCAAACATGACATGAGATCCCAATTGAACGCCAAAAGTTTTCAATAAAGTAAATATCCGGAAGTTGGATCGGTCTCGTATCCAAACTTTTCCTCAGAAATTGTTCGAATTTCTAAGGGAAAAAGGAATAATTGCGATTGCGAACTCAGCGTTGAATCTTTTGGCGATTGGGCGTATTTTTCCGAGGAATCTTGAAAACTGAGACAACCGCAGATCACGGGTAAAAGAAGAATTTAAGTTCGAGTTGACGGGTTACGAGAAAGGGAGATTTTTAGATTCATTAAAACCTAATGAGGAGGGATCAAGGTACAGTATTGATTAACTCAAGATCTTCCGATGACACTTTTAATCGAAGGGGTTTTTGGAATGAGTCATGAAACAGAAACAATAATATAGTTTAATTTTTTTTTTTTTGAGGAAGACGTCTCTGTTTATGTCAAAAACGTGATTGCGCTGTGGAAAGTTGGTGCTGTATTTCAGACTGATTCAAGAGCTCCAAAATAAAACAACGTGAAAAAACGACAAAATAAGTCTTTCATACTGCACATGTGAACTTTTCGTAATAAATCTGAAAGAAAACGTCTGAAAAAATCGGGTGCACACAAGACGAACTCAGAAACAGACGGAACTTGTATTTCAGTGTAAAAATAAAATTATACTATGATTGACAGTAACATCTGCACGCAATAAACCAATCACTGGACAAATTGGAAAATCTCAAATGGCTTGTGAATTTTCACTGTACAGTTGCTTTCCGTACATTCTGATGAAGCTTATCCCGGGTGTTGGACATCACGATTTCTTCTTCGTGTCCGAATGGAATTTTTTCGTGCATTGTTTCGTGTTCTGAATTTGAAATCAATCGCATTTAATAGTTGGATGACGAAGGAACGCTGGCTTTCCACGCAGACTCATCTGTGCATGCGTTTCCTCGGCTCAATGTCTCCGACGACTTTTTTCAGCATACGGTTAACGATGTGAAGTACCTGTACAGGGCACTAAAATCCGAAAGGTTAGTCTCTTATACAGTTACGCAAGTACTGTGGCTGCAAAATGCTCTTACGGTTGTGTTTCTCGCAATTATTTAGAGAAGCAATGGAAGAAGCTCCGTTGATGACGGCAGAACAGAGGAAAGAACGAGAACGTCAACGCAAATTAGCAGCCTGCGGAGGAGTTTGCATCTTGCGCATTCGTTTCCCTGACAAAATCGTTCTGCAGAGTTTATTTTCACCCGAGGATAATATCGGTGCTGTGAAAGCGCGTGTTCGGAAATTCCTACAAAATCCGAACACTTCCTTCTTCTTATGTTAGTCTCCAAGAAATTTGTCGAGTGGGAAATAGCTGTTGATAATTTTTACACGCGTTCAGATGTCACTCCACCGCGACGTGTTTTGAGCGACCAGGATACGTTGATTTCAAGTGGCTGCTGCCCAACTTCATTGCTCTTCTTCGGCACGGACGACACTGAGCAAGATTCTTTTCTGAGTGATAAGGTGATGAAGAATTTATCGACGGCTACGGGCGCCATTTCGTGGGCACAGCAAAACAGAAAGATTGTCAAGTAAGCCGTAAAAGAGCCTCCGTCTGTTATTGTTTTTTCTCATTCTTTATATGATGCTTCAGCGCGGTCATTCCTGCGTCAGAAAACCCGAAAGAAGCCTTGGCAGATTATCTTGGTGCTCATGCTATACCAGACCGATCTGCAGGAAAAGGTCAGACGAATGGCGCACCTGAAAATCGCCGAGACCCTCCTGCAGACAATGCACCTGTGCCGAAATGGTTCAAAATGAAAAGATAGAAGTTGCAGATTTTCGTGAACTTTGTCCTTGAAAAGCATGATACAATTTTTTTCGAAGTTGAATTTTCCCGGAAGCGAAATGAATATTCAAATCTAGATTGGGTGCATTGCACGGTCATTTTTATTCTGCGAAATCGAAATAAATGTGAAAAAAGCAAGAGTTTAGTCTTCACTCTTCAGTCAGAAATCTGCTCTGACTGAGGAAGGATACGAGGGGTATCTGATTCCCTTGCGTAGTCAACATTTTCACAGCTTTCCGTGAAGTATTTATTTAAGAAAAAAAGGCAATGCAGTTTAGATTAATGGAAAGAACTGGTTCGATCGTCACCTGTTTTCTAAATTTTGATTTTCTTTCCATTCCTCTTTGGTACCATGGACGATGGAAGAAGAATAAGACAAGTCATAGCTCTCAGTTCAATTGCTGTATTCAACAAGTCTCAGTGCAAATTTTGCTTCATTTTTTGAAGATTACTTGTGCCTCTAGACATAGAAGGAAGTAAAAATGGTAAAGATGAGAATAGAAGATCATCATTGTAGTCAAAATCCGTGAAATCGGACATTTTTGATGCATTTTTATCAATGAGTAGTTCTTTCTTTCATGGTATCAAAATACTGTATTCAAAAATTATGTGAATGTTTTCTTATGATGTGATCAACTCAAGTTGCTGATTTAAAATTGAACACTACTGAAAATTGACAGCGCGCGGAAATCAGATACCCTTTCAAGTTATGTTTAAACCCATATGTACAGTAACGTGTTTTTTTTCGTTCAACTTTTCAATCTAAGTTGAGTGTCTTTGATTCGCGAAAGTCTTGAGGTATTTCGAAAGTTTCAATTGGCGAGCGATAAAGGGGATTCACGTCAATCTTCTTCCCCAAATCGTTGATTGACCGCTTTTCAGCCGCCTCGAAGTGGCGCCATTCGTTGCGAACGTGAAGATAAGTCGCAAGTTTCCACACCAGAATGAGGAACAGTCCAAGTAAAACGATTGAAGCGATGATCGGCAATGCAATTCTCCACCAGGGAACTGGTCTGTGACAACCCTGTGATTACAATGTAAACGATTCGATATTTGTTGAATGAGGCGTCGAATCGAATGATCGTCACAATTTTTTTCGCGGCGGGTTTCGAAGGTATAAAATAGCAAATTATTTTCGGCCGAATTTCATGAATACGAAATTTGAGGTTACAGTATAAAATTGATAAATATGGTAACGTGACCATTTCTGGAAGAACCTCATTCGAGGATGCTTGTGAGAAGCACTTCCTTTTTACAGCAATTTTCTCGAACGCAAGAGCTATAGTTTTGTATTCGATAGCGTCTTCGATTTGCTGGAGAAAAGCATGATAGTTCTGACTAACATGATCTGTTGAAGTAAAATTGTTCTGAGTTTAAAATATGAAATCACTGTATTTGTATGCCTATCCGGAGGATACGAGATTTAAAATCATAATCTCTGTTGGACGTGTTCGAGGAGATTAAGCTGAAAAGTTGAGCATGACTAGAATTAAAAGACTCCTGGATGATTCCGAAAAATTGAATGTGAAGAAAGTGCGTCTTACATTCGAAGGCATATTTTTTCAAAGTTTTCAAGCCAAAATGAATAGGTTTTTCTTATATAATCCATGGCTATTATTTTGAGAAACGGTTGTTCCGGCCGTTTTGGAAGTCATTTGCATTTTTATAGTCTCTTGTCGGCTGATTTATTATTTTCAACTTCCGCATTTTTTTGCATCGGGATATCCTCAGTCATTTTGAGCCCAGCGGTTTTTCTTCTATTTTTTAATCATTGAATTATTTATTTTTATGAATCTGCGCCGTTTCTTTGTGTTGGAACTCTTGGAAGAAGGAAAAGGCTTCTTATGCAGCGCTATTTTAGGACTCACAGCTTCAGTATGTTGAAAAATGATGGTGACATTCTGATTCTCGAGCGTTTGTTCGATGAAGATGAACTCATAATAGCACGTCACTTCTTCCACGTTCACGCTGAATCGACACATGCGACGACTCTGAAGGTCAGCCTTCTCTGAAATCGGGAAGAACCACATCATCCTTGGTGAATTTTTGCTGCCTTTATTTTTATTTCGTGTAAAACTCACTCATGTAATCCTTCAACGTTGATGTGTCAGCCCGAGTTATGACAATTCCAGTGGACTGTTCTTTTTCTGGGTTACACGAAGCCTTTGCAGATTTCGGAAGCTCGTGGTCGAAACAAAGGACGTGGTTTTCCATGAGATTGGTGAACTTTCCGCAGCCAGCACATGTGGGACATATTTCGCAGAATTGCCCGATGTACCTGGAGAAATGTCTTGCTTACAGCATATTTTTGTATCGTGGCATTCTCAGTGTGCCATTTTTTCATCTTCTTGAGTATGTTAAGGCTAATTTTGTACCAATAAGTCGCACAAAACTTCAAAACATTTGTAAAATAATTTATAAAAACGCATGTTTCACGTTTTTTGTTCCTGGCTTCCTGCATTTCCCACAAATTAGGTCGAAGGATAAATAAGAAAATGTTTCTAGGCAGACCTAAAATAATTTTTTTTTAGGGTGATAGTACAGTATTTTATTTTGTTCAATGCATTGTTATTCTTTATCGCCTGATCTACTGTTGGTCGTACTTTTGTGTGTGTATGCGTTAAACTAGTTTGTACAAAAAAGAAGGTTATTAATTTTCAGTTCAATAAAGGGTCATCGTCGCAATGACCCAAGGTAGTGAACACCATTACACCATGAAAAGGGACTGAGATTTGGTGCGTCGGTGAGATTCTCCGAATTTTACCATCCAGTTGAGGTTCTGTGACACGCGCAAGACCCGTCGCAGTCGCACTCTCCGTGCCCGCTGCAAATTGTACCAGTACCCGGCTCCATGCACCCAGTTGTGTTGGAAATGCAACTGCAGAATTCACCTCTCCAACCATCGTCGCACTGACAAGCCCTCTGTTGGTGATGGCAAATTCCGTGACCACTGCAAGGCTTCCCACCTGGTGTTCTAAGAAAATTGTGAAGACATATTTTTATTTGCGTCATCGTCGTGTTGTGTGAGATATATGGCGAGAAATCGTGCGTGATGAACTCACTCGGTGCAAATGCGGTCATTTAGTTCGCAAAATTTGCCGTAGAACGGCCGAGTGCACTGGCATTTTCCGCATATGCAGTTCCCCGAGTTCGAGCAAATTGATCCTTGGGCGTCGCGACAGCTGAGGTCTGTTTGGGTTCCTTTCAAACAGTCGCAGTAGTTGCCTTCCCTGAAGATCGGGACGAAAAACAAATGTAGGCTATCGCTGAGATTTTTTTCAAAAATGAAGTGTAAAATGTTAGTAAATTATAGTAGATTAAAATTACACAGATTTTCTTAAACAATCGATAATTTTTCATGTACGGCGAGGGTTGGACCACTCCCACGTTTCCAGGGAGATTCTGACATGGAAAATTGAAGAAAACGTTTCCAAATTTCTGGCTTGACGCTTTAGGCGTTTGATATTTTTTTCCAGGATTTCAAGAAAGTTTTTCAGGACACTACTGCCCAATGAAAAGTGAAAACTTCCCATTTTAGACCATCAGAGTTTTCCACTCATTTTACAGCATGCTGAAAATTTGTCATGAGAGTTTAATGATTGCAATTTTCTTGTTGTAGTGTAGCATATCATTTTCCTCATGTTTGGTGAAAATGTCAAAATTTTTGGATTTACATGTCTCAAGGCATTATCTATCTCCGCATGTTGAGGGAAGATTTTTTTCAGTTCTCAGTGTCCCTAAGTCGAGTCGCATGTGTGTCAGAGTGTCCGTATGTTGGTGGAGTCCCACAGCTTGTATATCGTGACATTTTTCGCTTATAAAACTAGCATGAGGTTCGTATAGTGAAAATATTATACCAATTTTCGTGGCATGTGCAACGTCCACAAGAGAGATCTCCACGTTTGTTGCAAATGGTGGAATTGGCGACCGTTTTGTTGCATTGGCAGTCACAAATTACGGAAATCTTGACAATGGCCTTCTCTGCCAAACCAACTGGGCTGATGATGACTTCGTGTTCCTGTTCGAAAAGAAGACAGAATTTCTCAATTTAATTTGATGGTCATCGGGTAAACATCGTCGGGGATTTCGAAGAGCTTTTTCATAAGCGAAGAACAATTTACTTGTGATGTTTGATTTCCACATGATTCTGCGCTGATGGTGACTTTGAAACCAACTGATTCATCTCGTTCAACTTTGGAGCAACCTGCATCAGCAGACGATGGACCTGGAATTGGTGAACATGTGATCAAGAAAATTTCGATGCGATTTCTATCCGGATTCACGTATATGGCTGCAATTTTTCGTTACAATAATAATTTTTATAACCCTCGAATAACGGAAGCAGTTTTTTTCTTCTGAAAACTTTAGATTCAACTTCAGAAAATGAATTTTGTGAAGTTCATTCTGCAATGATTCCGAATCTTTTTCTGGAATTATGAGCATTTGCATGCACTTTTTGTTGTTGTGCCATTTCGAACCTTTTTCTTCTCTGCATGGAGGGTCAAAGGCGAGGGAAAGGTGGGTCCCGGTATGCTTTGCCTTCATCCTCACACTTGAAAACAGTTGCTACAAAAATCGAAATGACAATTTTTTTAACGAATGCATACAGTGTGTCCTCTGATTTTCCTTGCCCTTGATCAAGAGCACTTACGAAATCCTTGTAACACGATGGACCAAGTTATTCAAACCTCGTGCAAATCTTCGATGATGCTGACGATGTTTTTTGAGTCTTCTTCCAAATTAGCAGCAATCGGCCTACTGTCTCGCATGACGCCTTTCAGATCGTCAAAGATCTTCCTGCCGTTGGGAGCTGGGGTCGCAAAAATCGGCGTGACGTCGTGTTTTGCCAAAATGAAGTCCAGTTCAGAGACTGAAGGATAATCCATCCCCAACTTTGTGTTGTACACGTTGTCAGCTCCGAGGTGACATCTAGCATCCAACGGCAACACTGCTCCTCCCAGCTTAAATATGTTTTTTCAAGGGCATTCAGAAAATTATCAGCAGTTGTTTTATGACGCTATGAGCCTCCCTATATATTGAGCATACAGTAAAGCCTCGTCTCCAAGTCATATTTCAAGAACACCAGGAAGAAATTCGACTTTGGGAGGTTTTGACTTAGAGAGATGAGGAGGTTTATGCGCAGGGAAGCAAGCATTTTTGTTGTGTGAACATTGAAAGAATTGCCAGAAATTGCAATTCTAGGCCTTAAATGAGTTGGCAAGATGCTAAATTTGGATGCAAGGGTTCATTTGCCCAATTCACTCCCTTTCAAAACACATCAAGTTGGATTTTTTTTTTAAATAATGTTTTCTTTCCTGTGTGAAGAAAATAATAGCCAAAAGGCCTCAAAAATTTGGGTTTGGGAGGTTTAAGAGAAAAAGCATTTGACTTAGTGAGGTTTTTTAATATATTTCTTTTGAGGGCATTCAGATGGGGATCTGAAACAAAATTGACTTAGGGAAGTACTTGTCTTATTAAGGTACTACTAAATTTTTAGTACCTGTCTGAACAAAATATAGATCCCGCCCTCTCTCAAAAAATTACCACCTAAAACCTGGACAGCAGCTCAAATTTCTAGAGCTCTTATTTGGGCTATTTTTCTGAGGATCAGGGAAAAGGAGAAGAGCAATATTAAAATATACAAACGAAACAATGTTTTTCAAAGTAAAATTAGTGACTAATTGGGCAAATATACATCACTTGCCTCCAAGTTCAGCGTCCTGTCAACTTATGTATTGTACTCAGCAGAAGCCTCAGAATATCACAAATTTTTACCTCTCTGCAATTCTTTGATTTTTTCCAGCAAAAGAGCTGTACGTTTCTTTTCATCAAAAACTCTTTTGGTCAAATTTGCTTTCGGGTCTGAATTCAACCGAGAAAGGTTTGAATAAATATATTTGTGCATAATGTGCCTTTCCAATTACAGTAATACTGTATAATTTGTGACTTTATCCACGTGTCATTTAAAGCACGACCCTCTCTGAGCGATAGCGATATTTCAGATTCACTGTACAATTACAATAAGTTGGAATTTGTCCCGTCAATTTTGCTTTGATGGAGAATACAGTATATTGATTCATATTTGATAAATTTTTTTTCTGGAAGGAATTCAGTAATCAGGGTTAATTTCTGGCTCTTTTTTTATATTTCTGTTCGAATCCGCCGTCAAGCGTTTCAGCTTATACATTTTTTTGGATAGAATAAAGTCTCGATGAATGCGATCACTGTATGATATGATTGTCTCATCAAATTTAACAGACTTTCAAGAGGACATTTTAAAATTAGGCAGCCTGAAAAATCGAAGATATAATATTATTTTCACCTTTCCATCACCAGCTATGTGAGGCATCTGGACGGAATCGGAAATGTACAGCACTAGTTTCCGCGCAGATTCTCGGCTTTCTGTGTCTATGATGGAATTCCAGCAAGTTGCAACTTGGTACAATGCATCAAACCCACTCTCTGCATTGTCCAAACTAGCGGAAGTTCTGGATGCTTTCACCTGCATGAAATCCACAGTAAAAAAAAAAACTCTCTTCGCCCTTTTTTCCCCGCGAAAAAATTGAATGATTCGAGTGCTGCTGATGATGATGGGGCCGAAGGAATGCTGACCGTGTTGATGAAATTTTCCATGTCCCGCGTGAGGCTCAAGTGATGCTTGTAGGAGTAAATTGGAGCACAACTTTCGCCGTTGTTGAAAACTGCACAAGGATTGTCCACAAAATTTGGCAAGGTGTATGGCAGTTGGGGCTTGTCCACGAACGAGCCGAATCCGAGACGGTATTCCGACGTGATATTCCTCAACGCTGTCGCAATTTCCTCGCCTGATCCCGGAGTTTTTGAAAATTATACAAAAGCTTGCTTGAGATGTTATTATTTTTTTAATTATTCACAGATATTTTGAATTCAATCACCGATTCGAGTGACTGTCTGAAGAGACGCTTCCATGGTCCAGGTTTGGTCCATGAGAAAATAGAGATCCACGGGTCTGTCCTTGTCATTTTTGAACTGAATATTCGGCAAAACCAGGTCGACGTCTGTGTAATGTATTGAATTCAAAGTACTGTATACTTGTATATCAATTTCTTTTTTCTTTGAAAATGCATGACTTGCAGAAATGTCAAGCGAGAGCCTAACTTTCTGAATTCGATGAATTTTTGTCACTCAAAGAACACCTGAAATAAATTCTTGGACAGCAGTGAATCAATTACGCGTTCCAGATCTTCAAAAAACTTCAGGAATATTTTGAGATACTGTCGCGAATTTAAACTTTTCACTTAGAAAATTAACAAAAATTAACCACTATGCAGCATAGCTCATTGAATTACTCAATTTTTCTCCTAACCTTCAAATGCTGTACTTGTTTCGTTTCACAGAATTTGTTCTTCTAATTCTCTCATCATCTTACTTGATCAATTTAAAATTAACCACTATGCAGCATAGCTCATTGAATTACTCAATTTTTCTCCTAACCTTCAAATGCTGTACTTGTTTCGTTTCACAGAATTTGTTCTTCTAATTCTCTCATCATCTTACTTGATCAATTTTTTTTTTAAATCTGTATCTGTCTAGGCCCTCAAGATTCTTTGCAACAGATGTATGCTTCTCAACTAAACTATAAGTTAAATTGTGATTCGTGGACTTGGTTGCTCCTTATTCTTGGGTCTAAAAATTAATCAAATTTTAAAATAAGCCCTCGTCAATTTTGGTAGAAAGAAACACACTAGACTGGTGCTATTCTTGGTTTAGTGCAGCTGATCATTAGTTGTCTTCCTTTCAACCCGCTTACAAAAGGAATAAAATGACTACTACAATATAAATATTAAACTAACTTGGGACGATTTTGAATTCGTAGACGCTTTTTCCGGTGGCTTCTAAATGAATGACGTCTGGAATTTGGTTGCTGAGCATTGGGTTGCTCAAAATATTTTTGCATCCCGGATTTTCCAGCGGAGAATCGGATCTGTCTTCGTGGAAACACCTTCCACCAGGATGATTCTACATGAATAGATTAGTAGCAGATAGGTCATTATTGAAGAATACATTTCTTGGCGAATATAACTGCAATGATTGAATTGAATTTATGAATTTTTTAATTGTTAAAAAAATTGTCTCTTTACACTGCCTGCAGCTTTTTCATAAACAAGCTGGGGGTGCCCAGCCACACCTGGGCATCATGTCACATTTTTTGTTAGGAAAAATTGAATGTTTTACAGATTTTAATGGGTGTAAGAAGGTATGCCCAGGCACAACTGGTTATTATTACACAAATTATGAGGAGAATGAAAAATTGTATTACTAAAGCTAGTTAATGTTGAAGGACCACCGGTAATCTTATANTTTTCACCTTTCCATCGCCAGCTATGTGAGGCATCTGGACGGAATCGGAAATGTACAGCACTAGTTTCCGCGCAGATTCTCGGCTTTCTGTGTCTATGATGGAATTCCAGCAAGTTGCAACTTGGTACAATGCATCAAACCCACTCTCTGCATTGTCCAAACTAGCGGAAGTTCTGGATGCTTTCACCTGCATGAAATCCACAGTAAAAGAAAAAACTCTCTTCGCCCTTTTTTCCCCGCGAAAAAATTGAATGATTCGAGTGCTGCTGATGATGATGGGGCCGAAGGAATGCTGACCGTGTTGATGAAATTTTCCATGTCCCGCGTGAGGCTCAAGTGATGCTTGTAGGAGTAAATTGGAGCACAACTTTCGCCGTTGTTGAAAACTGCACAAGGATTGTCCACAAAATTTGGCAAGGTGTATGGCAGTTGGGGCTTGTCCACGAACGAGCCGAATCCGAGACGGTATTCCGACGTGATATTCCTCAACGCTGTCGCAATTTCCTCGCCTGATCCCGGAGTTTTTGAAAATTATACAAAAGCTTGCTTGAGATGTTATTATTTTTTTGATTATTCACAGATATTTTGAATTCAATCACCGATTCGAGTGACTGTCTGAAGAGACGCTTCCATGGTCCAGGTTTGGTCCATGAGAAAATAGAGATCCACGGGTCTGTCCTTGTCATTTTTGAACTGAATATTCGGCAAAACCAGGTCGACGTCTGTGTAATGTATTGAATTCAAAGTACTGTATACTTGTACTGTATATCAATTTCTTTTTTCTTTGAAAATGCATGACTTGCAGAAATGTCAAGCGAGAGCCTAACTTTCTGAATTCGATGAATTTTTGTCACTCAAAGAACACCTGAAATAAATTCTTGGACAGCAGTGAATCAATTACGCGTTCCAGATCTTCAAAAAACTTCAGGAATACTTTGAGATACTGTCGTGAATTTAAACTTTTCACTTAGAAAATTAACAAAAATTAACCACTATGCAGCATAGCTCATTGAATTACTCAATTTTTCTCCTAACCTTCAAATGCTGTACTTGTTTCGTTTCACAGAATTTGTTCTTCTAATTCTCTCATCATCTTACTTGATCAATTAAAAAATAAATCTCCATTTGTCTAAGCCCTCAAGATTCTTCGCAACAGTTGTATGCTTCTCAACTAAAGTATAAGTTAGATTGTGATTAGTGGACTTGGTTGCTCCTTATTATTGGGTTTAAAAATTATTCCAATTTTAAAATAAGCCCTCGTCAATTTTGGGAGAAAGAAACACACTAGACTGGTGTCATTCTTGGTTTAGTGCAGCTGATCATTAGTTTTCTTCCTTTTAACCCGCTTACAGGAATAAAATGAATACTATAAATATTAAACTAACTTGGGACGATTTTGAATTCGTAGACGCTTTTTCCGGTGGCTTCTAAATGAATGACGTCTGGAATTTGGTTGCTGAGCATTGGGTTGCTCAAAATATTTTTGCATCCCGAAGTTTCCAGCGGAGAATCGGATCTGTCTTCGTGGAAACATCTTCCACCAGGATGATTCTACATGAATTTATTAGTAGCAGATAGGTCATTATTGAAGAATACATTTCTCGGCAAATATAACTGCAATAATTGAATTGAATTTATGAATTTTTTAATTGTTAAAAAAATTATCTCTTTACACTGCATGCAGCTTTTTCATAAATACTGGGAACAATTATTGTCTTCATCAGTATCACAATAGTCTTAGACTTTGTGTATTTTATTTGAACTACGTTCACCATGATGTAAAACAGTTTCGTTGAGAAGAAAAATAGTTGTAGTTTGGAATATAACAAAATTGATACCCAGTCGTCATCGAAGCACCAGCTGCAAGTTGAAGCTGCTCGGAAGCAACTCGCACAATCGTCCGGTGCGCTGCAAACGTCTTCTATGGACAACACTTCTCTCTTTGCCAGCGAACCGTTGGTAGGACTCGAAAAAATCAGCACTGTAACACAGAATCTTGTTCAAAACTTGTCGCGGAAAACTGTTACTCGCTTCGAGTATAGAAAAGCACTCACCCAATAAGTAGCCCGAAATTATTGAACCGAGCTGTCGTTTGTGGATGCGTCGAAATTTTTCAAATTGCTCGCCAGGTGCCATTATAAAGTATATCGGGCCTATAAATTTATTTTAGCGCTTGAAAATCTCCGGACACATTTATCACTTGTCTTTGATTCGTGTCAAATACTTTTGTTGTTGTTTTTCAAATCGGACAAAAAACTTTGTTTTTCAAAGTTTTCGTTGGAAAACTGGGGATACTTTATGGCGCTTTTCAACTGCTTTTCATGGCTGCCTTTTTTTCGGAAACTGAAGTTTCCAGCAGATGGAGTTCGTGTTTGAAGTGTCCACACAAAAAAAAAACAAAAAAAGTCTGCGTTATCTATATCATATATACAGTCAGATAAGCAACACGATATTTTAGTCAGGTTGTCGAGATAACTGCTCTGTTCCTTTCCACGCAGCAACGGATTTTCTTTGAAAACAGTCACTAATTCATTCCACTCCTCCATCTTTGAATGCTCATTTTGGGAGCAGATGTGTCCGAAAAATTGTTATTTTTCAATTGCTCGAAAATAAATTATGCTGACTGTTTTTTTTTACTCATTGAAAAATTAAAATTCTGAAAAATTCAATAGACTGCTGGCGGTGGTATATTCTTCGAATATAAATGAATAGATCTTCAATAAAAAAAAACACTGTCTGAGTTTGCTAGTGTGTCCATGTACAAAAATACATCTCAATGGATATTCCGACAAACATACAGTAATTTTAATTTACATACAGCCGCATAATAGAACAGATCGTCTGTTGACGTTAAAGATTGCAGTTTTTTTTTTCAAAATCGAGTTGAAATTTAATATTTGAACATGTTTTTCTCCGTATTTAGGCTTGGTCGCGTGACCTATTTTTTTTTTTAATCCTCTGATGACATAAATCCTCCGGGGTGCTATCAAAAAAATTACTTCACAGCGTGTCAACTCAAATTTTTCCAATTTTTATTGGTAACGTTTCAGTTACCATTAAAAGATTGGTTCATTTATTTTGGAAACTAATTAATGTTGCTGATTCCTTGTTCTATTTTCGCAACTTGATCAAAAATGCAATACTGTAGTTTAACTCAACGCAGAGAATGAACACAGCATACGAGACAGTACGCTAGAGCTGACATCTTTTAATTAGAAAAGAAAGTTCTCAAGTTCCCCAGCTTCTGTTCAAAAGGTGCACTATTGGGTGCTTTCATTGTGTATTGGGGGTTTTATGTGAAAAATTGGGTGAACAAAAACTGATCGTGTTTTCCTGGTTCGAAATTACTAGCGTGAGCAGTGAAAGGGTCCTCAAACAATGGTATATAGGCCGTCTTTATTTGGAGGAAATGTTCTCCGAAGATCCCTGATCGAGGATCATATTTTCCTGAGCTTTCCCGTCATTTGTACCATCCTTTATTGACAATTCGCAGGCGCCAGATATTCGTCTGTTTGTTCAGAAAATGCATTTAACCAAACAATTCCATAGTCTTTATTAGGCTATGATCATTCTAAGTCGTAATGATGATGATGATTTCACGATTTTCAAACCACAAAGAATTCTAAATTTTTCTTCCGTATTACAGTATTTTAGTTTGGTAATCCCGCCGGGAATTGCCGTAAAAATCGAAAGATGTTTGTATATGCATGCCAAAGATTCGAATGTTCCTCTCAATAATATGCCGGGAATATTTTTTTTTCAAGCATGCATTGTTTCACTTTTTGTTGTTGAAATTCTTGCAATGGCTTAAAGGCATGTGATGATAAAGGGAAGAATAAACCGTGTAATGCCATGAACATAAGAAGGTCGATATCCGCTCGTTTTATTTACACAATCATGAGGAAAGTTAGGTTACACATTCAAAAAAACCCAAACAAACGAACGAACAATCGTCGCCAAATTCAATTCATAAACAAACAAAAAAATTAGGGGATGTATTTCTCCGCATTTTTCTTACGTTAATAACCTTCATGTTTCTGGAGCGCGACCGATTCGGAAGGGGCAAACATCACAGCCAACAATACGTGTTCGGTGGAAAACAGTCGCGATGAAAATCTCTCAATCGATTTCCTCTCTCACATACACACACATACACAATAACATACTACGTTTTTTCCCCCTGCTGCAACAATTTTCCTGATGAAGTTTGCTTGTTACGGAAGAAGAAAAAAACGAGTTTTCTCTTCAGCAAGCTTCACATTTTCGCATTCGTCGAGAGATTGAAAGATTATGTAGCTTTTCTTTTTCTCTTCTCTTCTCAACGACAAGACGATCATATTTACATCAGATGAGGCATCTTTTCTTGACATCCGTCGTAGAAAACGAGCAGTTTTGGCAAATTTTCGAACTCAATTTTCTGATGCAATGGTGCAATTGCAAGAAATTGAAGTTCGCGGGAGAATAATTTTGCGTCGCTTGCGACGAACGTATCGAAGAATACTTTGTCATTCTTCAAACTCGTTTTCAGTTATTCAATTTTGTTCGTACAGGCTGACTTCATCTTGCTGAAAATTTTTCTCGCGTCCTTCCAGCCCGCTGAAGCAGTAAAAATCTATTATATATAATACATCCAACAACATCAACTAGTTCCGATATAAAAACGGGTTACATTGAAAAGAAAAAAAAAATTTCAAACTAGGACGAGCACCACAACGCAGCGCGAAGTTTCAATCCAGAGATCCTCCATCAATCTTTTCTTTTTCTTTTATATGAGCTCAACGTTGGCCTAACCGAACTCAATCCGGCGAATTTCCAAAATAAAATTGAAAGAAAGAGTAAAATCGCGTTTCGAAAGATTTTTCAATGAGTTCCTGAACTAAAACCAATTCTAGGAGGGTGCAACAGGGTGACCAAGAATGAGCCGGAATTTTTTGTTTTCGGTTTGCTGCTTTGGTTTAAATCGGAGGTGAAATTCACGCGGATTTTGCGCTGAAATTGGAAAGCTGTCGTTGACATCTACCAACACTAAGATAAAAAAAAAATTCTTCGTTTTCTGCAAACGAAGTCGGAAAATGTATCGTGAAGATTAAAGATTTCTGATTGCATGTGTAACATTTTTTGGGACACTTCGCACCACCTGTATGGGGTCTCCGAAAGCCTCAAGGAATCGTCAAAGAAAAAAAATCGAAAGAGGGAAAAGCAGTCGAATTTCGAAGAATAAAAAAAAAATCATCGATTTAATCGCCTTCATTATTTGCAAGTGCTTTGCACGACGTTCCTCCAGCAATCTTGACACTCCACTGAGCAACACCAGCGGAATTTGCATTTGCATTTCTCCTTGACAGTGGCATTTTCGGTTTTGAAACCTCGGTTGCAGCACAAGTGTTTGCAACCGTCTCGTTCCCTCGATCGGGGATTGCACGTCCTGTCTTTTGTTCCTGTAATTGACAAAAAAATATTTGTATTCAAACGCACTTCGAAGTCTTTCACCTAAATTGATGATGTCAAATTTATTTGTTCGTGCAGCCACATAAAAAAAACCACTGATCATCGTTTCAAGTCTCAAAAACATTCCGTTGCACGGACAGAGGAATGACACGATCGGAAAAAAATTCTAGAAAGAAAATACAGTATTAGATGTTCACCCAAAAACAGTACATTCCAGTGCTGTACGAATATCTGATGTATGCGATACCAATTGCACATGAATTAAAAGTTTAAAACGACGCGTTCAAAGTTTAACAAATTTCCTCAGATCGAATATCGCTGCAAATTCATTTGCAAAGAATGCGTGAAAAACATGAATGTCCATGAATAATAGTTCCTAGTTCACATATTCCAGGTATCCAAATATTTTGCACATGATTTGTCTGACGGTTTGGAATCGAAAACGTGAGTAGATAACATTCACGAATTTCGCGAAAATGTTGGAAAGCCTCATAAAAACGCAATTTTCAGCAGCAGCAGCATAAAATATAGCAAACACATGAGCATTAATTTTACAGCAATAAAAATGTTCTCTAATTTTGTCAGAATTTTATTTGGATATTGGCTGTACATAAAGTATCAAAAATACTGAGCTTTTCAATAAATTCTATCTCGAATTCCATCGTACAAACTTCAGCAGTCAAACCAAGTTGCTGTTTAGGCGAATAAAAATGCCAAGTACTGTACGCACACTATCAGAACAAAGGATCAAGGATAAATCGTTCGTATTCATTCATTCAAGTAGCTGGAAAATAAAAATATTTATGACTTCGTAAATTTTCAATCGAAATGTCCAAGACAACGGCGATGCTTTCCCGCAATAATTGCGGGGCCATTAATCTTATCCCGTTTTACAACTTTCTCGCGCATCAAAGGAAAAAAAAGCAACCGAACATTACTGCTTTAAAACCACGACCGTTTTTCCAATTAAATTGCAAAAATCCGTTCGTTCTTTTCTCAAACCGGACAGTACAGTATACTTCTTGAATACATAGGGCATGGTTTTTCTTTTTTTTCTTCTCTCGAATGATATACAGTTATACACTAACTAGCCTTTTCGAGGTTGAAAAATGTCCACCTAGAAGGGCTAGAACAGAAAAATTGATTCAGAATGGAACCTTATACAGAAAAAGCAGTTTTTCGCCCAATGCCTGGTCTGGTTAACAACTGTCCTTCTGATGGAAATTTTAAAGTTTATTATGAAATGCCTGTAACAGAAAAAAGTTCGGAAAGTGAATGAAAATAACTCTTTACTTTTATCCTGCAATGTCAAACTCCACGCAGAGCAAGGTTATTTATTTGTAATGTACAAGGGTTGGTTCATAAGTTTTGAAACTTTTTTTTAAATAGATCCAAGGGATGAGTTTAAACAATTCCAAAAGTTTTTCCATTTGAATAGCCCCATCCTTTGACAACACTTCAGTGCTGTTCAACATACTCTCCGCCAATTTCAATGCATTTTTTGATGCAATGAATTCAACAATCAAAACAGTGCCAAAATTGGGATTGGGTTCTGTTAGTTGATTAAACTGCTCCTCAATTGCGGAAATGAGGCTGTCCCTGTCCTAAAAATGAACCCCTTTCAGGTTGTTCTTCACTGTCAGAACAATCCAGAAATCACAGGGTTCCTATAATCAACTGACAGAAAG